AATCTGACCTAGTTTTTCTACCCATGTTTGCAGGAGCTAAATAGATAGAGTAGATTCAGAGCCAGCATAAGACCAGTGGAGCACCAAATTATTAATGGAGGCCTACATGGCACCCAGTTGGCCCCCACAGAGCTCTGACCTTATCTTTGATGTGTTCACAGCTGTCATTCCCACCCGTGTGTTTAGAGGGATGCAGCCATGTCATCTCTTGCATCTTCTCCTTATTCCAGAATCAGCTGAGAAGCTCCCTCTTCCCAGGGTAGATGCGGTTGGAGCTTGGAGGCCTCTCTCAATGTGGCTGTATTTAGCACCGTTTGATAGGCCAGCCACCTGGGTGCAAGGCAGGGGGCACACTCCAAGAAAGGGTCTCCTGCTCTGCCAGGCCACTCAGAGTCCTACTCACAGCTGTGTAGATATTCCAAGTCGAAGGCTTGGTCCTCAGGGAGGAGGTGAGTGGAAGTCATTCCTGACTCTTCCCATCTCCCTGCCCTGGATTCTACCTTCTTCTCTCCCTCACATGTTCCGGAACTCTACGTCCTCTCCTTTTATAACCTGCTTATGGAACTTCGTTTTCTCTGAAAAGTAAATGGCTCGTGCTGTTCACGCTGCCACGGGATTGGTATTTTAACAGACAGCAAAGCCTTGGGCTAAGGGCTAGTGGTAGGTTTGCAGGCCTCTGACAGCCTCTTCTAGAAGACTGGGGTGGGGAAGCACCCTGCTGGAGCCCTGAGACCATGGCCTGTGAGTTGTGGATTCTATCAGGAGGGAGGGTAGCCCTGATGACGGCAGTGGGTGCAGTTCTCCAGGTCCACCCGCTGTGCTCAGTTACCAAGGAATCAGCATGAGAATGACTGGGTGCCTGGCTGTTTTGTCATGTGGCCCCTTTGGCAGAGTGAAGCTGTGTTCTCTTAAGTTTTGTCCTTTTTCATCTAAGTGAGTGTATTTGGGTGCATAATCCAGAGGGGTGTGAGGGTAAGAGGTGTATATGAATGATGTATGGGTGAGAGAGCAGTTATGGGTACCCTAGAACACGCAGGAGACCCAGATTCTATTCCCAGCCAACACACCTCATGCACAGACACCACCGTCTGTCCGTGGAGCCTTGCGTGTTGCTCTGATACTGAACAGGTTTCAGTGGAGCTTCCAGACTAAGATGAACTAGGAAGAAAGGCCTGGCCATCTACTTCTGAAAATCAGCCAGTGAAAACGCTATGGATCACAACGATCCAATCCCATCATACATGGGGTCACCATGAGTTGGGGGCCGACTCAGTGGCAGCTAACAACACCAAGAAGAGCCTCAAAGTGTAAAGGGCAGGAGCCACTGGGGAATCTTGGTAAAGTGCAGGTCCCGAGTCAGCAGGGCTGGGCTGGGGCCCGAGATTCTGCATTTCTGACAGGCTCCCAATGATGCGGATGCTGCTAGGCCACACTTTGAGTGACAAGGACCTGAAGAAAGGGTTCTCAGCTTTGGCTACAGATTAGAATACCTGGGGGGCTTTTGAAAATCCTAAACTCTCTGAGGGCAGGCCCAAGCTATTAGGGGTTTTAAAGTCCTCACCTAATTTCTGCCAAGGTTGAGGACCTCTTTCCTGAAGGAAGAGCTTATGGGAGGGGCCTGAGTGGACAACGAGATTCATTCCTACCACGTTGGAAATGCACAGAACTTTGTTGTAACTGTCACTATCTGATACCCAGGGCTGGATTAAGGCATGTGAGGGCCCTAAACACTGATAATCTGAGGTGCCCCCTCTGCTTACTCAGGCATTCGAACAGAATATGTGAGTTATGTATATAATGTATATATATGTATGTGTGTCTTAGCCATTCATGATGTAACTTCTTTTAAAATGCAACTAATATTATATTAAATTATTTCCCATGTTAGCATTATATTAAATGTATGCTTGATTGCATCCTCATGTATTCCAAACATATTTTAAAGTTAGAGTTAGAAATATTATTGTTTATAAAACTTACGACATAACTCTGTATGTAAATGCTATACTGTTAAAACTAACTTGATTGAATTCATTACAGTGGTTATCTTATTCGAGTTCCCTCACTTTTGCTCATCATCTGGGCCTTGAGTTCCCATTGGATGTTTACCAGGACGTGTGCAAGAGCATACCCTTGTGTTTGTATTATGGCAAAGAGCATTGCTGGCCCTCCTGGCTGCAGTTGCTGGATCAGCAGACATGGATTTACAACATGGTTCTCTCAAAATGGATCAGAGGCCTGTTATTATATATTTTAATATATAATATGTCATATATTTATATAATGTCTACTTGGCCTAGTAGCTGCTCCCGTTGGATCCAGTTGCATATTGGGTGAACGGAGCAAGAGTTAGACTCGACAGCCCACCCCCACCTCTCGTCTATTAGAAAGAAATAGTATACTCCCAAGAGACCCGCCAAGATAAGGAGTTTCAATTACACAGGAGAGGACCTTAGGAGGCAGATGTCAACAAAGGTGTTGAAGTGGTAGGGGCCTCATAGCTTAAACAACCTTGCGCGAGGGCGCCCTGGTGAACTTTATTTCCAGCCAGTACATTCTCACGCCCTGGAGCTGGTATCAGTTTCATTAGTGCCCTGCCGGGTCCCTTCCACTGCAGCGCTCACTTTTCCTTATGTCCTGCTTGGCAACTGTAGATCTTTGGTTTGGACAGCGATGCCCCTTTTTTGTTGATGCCTGAAGCATAAGCTTACCTTATTGGTTAATCCATCCCTGCCGATACGCACTGCTGTTGAATAGATTCCAACTCATAGGAACCCTATAGGCAGGGTAGAACTGCACTGTAGGGTTTTCTAGGTTGTAATCTTTACAGGAGCAGACCACCAGCTGTTTTCTCCCATAAAGCAGCTAGTGGGTTCGAACCGCCGACCTTTCAGTTAGCAGGCAAGTGCTTAACCACTGCGCTACCAGAGCTCTTTCACTAGCTGATGGTGTTTTCTTTTAAATGTATACTACCCAACCTGAACAGCTGCCTTTGATTTTATCAGCTCTATTTTGGGAGAAACACTGTAAACAGTTTCTCAGGACTGCCTCCGGACACCAGAGTCTGCTCTCCGGTGTTTATCAGCCTGTGGAGTCTCAGCTGAAGCCCTCACGGGTATTCTTGCTATTTTTCCATCTACCTGTGGCGTCCTGCTCTTAATTGGACAACTAGCTGCCTCTAATTCTTTTCAGCAAGGCTAATAGGGCTGTTGGAGTCCCTGGATGGTGCAAACAGTTAACATGCTTGGCTGCTAACTGACAGGTTGGAGGTTTGAGTCCACCCAGAGGTGCCTCGGAAGAAAGGCCTAGCGATCTGCTTCAGAAAAATCATCCACTGAAAACCTCATGGAACACAGTTCTACTCTGACGCACAGGGGGTTCCAGGAGTCGGAGTCAGCTTGACAGCAACTGGTTTGGTGTGTTTTAATAGGGCTGTTGGGGGTCTAGCTGAGAATAAAACTGGGTATTTTATCTTCCCGTAGAGCAGGGATTCTCAACCCTGCAGCACATTAGAAATTGCCCAAGGAGACTCTGACCTCATTGGTCTGGGACAGGGTGTAGCATCAGGGGAGTTTAAAAAAGTCCACAGGTGATTTTAATGTGAAATCAGGGATGAGCACCAGGCTGTAAGATAAAATGAAAAAAATTTAAATGCACACGTTTGTGTTTTCTTCAGCGTGTTTAGAACTGGTTCTAAAATACAGTATAAAAGATGCTAGTTGAACAATAAAAGCATCAAACAAGAAGCAACATATGTAAATGATTTTTAAAATATACATTTAATGATTTTTTCAGACCATATTTTAAAAAATTTAGATTCCCCTCATCTCATACCCAGCATTTTTGAGGAGCCTCCATCAAAGTGAAGAGATGCCTGGGCTGGATTTGGGGTACACCATCAGAGTGGAACATGTTGTTATTAGCTGCCCTGGAGTTGGCCTTGACTCGTGGCAACCCCGTGCACAACAGAACAAAATGCTGCCCAGTCCATCCCCATAATCAGTTGCAGGTCAGACCATTGTGATCCACAGAGTTTTCACTTGGTGATTTGTAGAAGTAGATTGCCAGGCCTTTCTTCCTAGTCTGCCTTAGTCTGGAATCTCCACTGAAACCTGTTTAACATCTTAGTGACACACAAGCCTCCACTGACAGACAGGTGGTGGCTGTGCATGAGGTGCATTGACCAAGAATCGAACCCGGGTCTCCTGCATGGAAGGCGAGAATTCTACCACTCTGCCTGATCCTGATGTGAACCTTACCCAGGGCATTATAGGGAGACATTGACTACTGAAACAAATAAATAAAACCCAGCACTTCAGAGACTTAACAGCGTAGAGGTTTGATAAGGAGCCCTGGTGGCGCACTGGTTAACACTCGGCTGCTAACTGCAAGGTTGGTGTTTGGAACCCACCAGCCGCTCCAGGGGAGAAAAGACCTGACAATTTGCTCCCGTAAAGATTACAGCCTAGGAAACCTTGGGGCAGTTCTACTCTGTCATCTGAGATCACTGTGAGTTGGCACACAACAACAGTTTATGGAACAGGACGGCCTCTGAGTAGGTCAGGAGGTCTGCCCTCCTGTGCACTGCATTCAGGAACTGCAGGTGAGCAAGGCGCCACCAAGCTCAGTGGGTGGCTTCCAAGGTCACCCTGGAGGGTCTGGAGGGGAGCAAAGAGGTGAGGTGGGCGAGGGGGGGCACCTGTGCTGGCTACCATTGGGTGGAGCTGCCACATGACCACACCCCCCTGTTCAGAAATAGCAAAGCCCGAGTCCTGGCTGAGCAGCCCCTTCTGAGTGAAGGCCCCAAACGTGTCAAGGAGCACAAATTTGGCGGGCCACTAGCAACCTGTGCCCCACCCCACTGGTCTGTCCCTGCATCGTTGTGTGTCCGTTTCACTGACACACGTGGACTCCAGACAGTTCAGGTCCGCAGCGTCAGTGAGGGGAGCCGTGAGGTCAAGTGATCATTTTAAGGGTGTGTGCTCTTCTCTCCTCTGCAGATATCGCAAACGGCACCAGTTCAGGGGGGTACCGCCCACCTCCCAGAACCAAAGAAGTCATCATCAACGGCCAGACTGTGAAACTTAAATATTGTTTCACCTGCAAGATTTTCCGGCCCCCTCGTGCCTCCCATTGTAGCCTTTGTGATAACTGCGTAGGTGAGTAGAAGGGCAATGCCTGTCTTGCGCCCGGAACGCTCACGTTATAATGATCTTCTCTGAATAGAGGCTTTGTGCTAAAGAGAGCCACACGTAGTTCTCTTTAGTCCTTAGAGAGGGACACATTCCATCATGGTTAATATTTCCTTGAGTTTGCCTCTTGCCACTGACCCCGTTCTCTAGGCCTAGACTTAACAACTCTCCCTTTTATTTCTTTTCTTTTTGCGTCCTGCAACTCCCCTTGTACCAGTACACTACCTTCTCCTCCCCAAAACTCACATCACACGCACCAGTGTAGGCCCTTGTTCCCAGAGCTCCCAGGCCAGCAGGCATCTGAAATAAACCAGGTCATCGCTAGGCCTCCGTTGCCTGAGGGGTTGGCTGCACCGTAGCTGGGTGTTCTTGGGCAGTTCTTTCCACCCAGTCCCTCTCCTCAGAGGGGCATTTGGCAAAGAGAGCTGGAAGTGTTGGAAACCCAAGGAGAGAAAGTGAGGTAAGAGGGCGGGAGCCAATCGTTAAGATCATGACTCTTCCCCGAGACCATCATGGCCTTCTGCTCTGTCAGCTTGCCTTCTCCAGCACAGACTAGGAGGCAGGCAGAGGGAAAGTGCCTGCTCAGAGATCCTTACTGTAAGACTGGGCCCAGCTGTAGGCCCCCACTGACCCACCACATCTCCAACAGATGAAGTGAGCTCCTGTCCTTTCAGGCTGAGAGCTGCTACCCACAACCACAGACCATCTTCTTTCCCAGACAGGAGCTAGTTAGAGATGAGGTGGGCAAGGAGATGGTGGAAGACCCAAGTTACAGAAAGCGTAGCAGGAAAGGAACCAAGGCTTTGCCACACTCAGAAGGACTGTGGTTTGCCTCTACTAGGAGTTATCAAGGATATTCCTGGGAAACTAGGCATGGAAATCCTATTACCTCACACCTGAAAGGATAGAAACACGCCTCAGAACAAACTTTGTTTCCCTCCAAGGTACATGATCAATTGCCAACACCCTTCTTCAGTCTATAGAAGTTTTAGCCTCAGTTTTTCTTTAGAAAATACATTTTACAATGCAGTCTTCCTTTTATTTGTCTTATATTTACTTTATCTTAATGTTAATAATCTACAGTTTGGTACAAAGTCAGTGTTTTCCCTATCAGACCTTGTCTTGGTTCTATTCACTTAGATAAACTACTTGTAGCATTTGCTTCCCCTAAATGGAATAGTATGGAATTTTGTTCAGTCTTCCTCCCATGTAAGTAGCCTGTAGTTGAGAGCCTGGGATCTGGTAAACCAAACAAACAAACCCATTGCTGTCAAGTCAGTTCTGACTCATAGTGACCCTATAGGACAGAGTAGGGTTTCCAAGGCTGTAAATCTTTACAGAAGCAGACTGCCACATCTGCCTCCTTCAGAGCAGCCAGTGGGTTGGAATTGCCAATTTTTGGTTAGCAGCCTAGTGCTTAAGCACTGCGCCACCAGGGCTCCTATGAGATCTGGTACCAGGTCCAAATTTTGGTTCTGTCTTACTAGCTGTGTGACTTAGACAAGCTACTTAAACTCTCTATGCTTTGGTTTTCTCATCTCTACAATGAGTTTGATAACAGTACCTACCTCGTGGTGTGGTTGAGAGACTAAATGAGTTAACACATGTAGAGCACTTAGGATAGTGCTTGGCATATAGCAAACACTCTATAATTGTTAGCTGCTAAGGCTATTACTACTTCTGCTCCCTTAATGTTTTTGGTTGGCTTTCTGTGTACAATTTCTGGATCTGCTGTCACCATCTACAGGGATGGTGACCAAGACAACACCTAATATCCCATGTGGGGACATACCAGGTTTTGTACGAGGACACACAACAGCCTGTTTGATTTCTGATACCCTTCCGGGAGACACCAGCCCCAGTGGCCGTACATGCCTATGCTGGGGACGCTTCTAAGCCAAAGTGACACAGTAGCTTAAATATTTTCAGAGGAACTACGTAGGGATTCTCAGGACCCTTTCTTGGATTGTAATCTTGACCTCAGGGCCTATAATGTGATGGAATAGTGTGCACCTTACATTTTTTCAAGTAAGCGCTTCTGTTATTTTGCATGCTTCTTCCCCAGGAGATCTAATATTGATTCCAATCAGCATTTTGATAGGTAGGGTGTTATCTGAAAAACCTAAAAAGTTGACTGGGCACATCCTTGTCTTTATCATATAAAAATGCTGATTTTTATTGGCATTTTTAGACACCTAACTCTTTCCATTTGTCCCTACAAAGATAATGCACATGGGTCTCAATCCTCTGTTTCCTGTCTCTAGGCTAGATTCCTAATCATGATAAAATTTCATTTCCATTGCATAGGAACTTGTTTTTCAAATGCCCTTTCGGTGCATTGTTGTCAAACACTTTTAAAAAGTTTATATAATTACTCTCATGTGTTCCCTCCATCACCCATAAGCATATGTGTCCCTTAAAGAACTCTGATTAACTAGCTATACAGTCCCTTTCCCAAAATTATAAATGCCTTTTCTCAACTGATAGTGGACTTCTCCCATGGTTTAACTGTTTAAGATAGTGTCCTTTCTTATAAAGTCTGCCAGCGGTGAAAGTAAGGGACATCAGCCCATAATATCCAGGAGCCCTTCTGCAATCTCTCTGATAAATAGAAGTTCCAATGGCAATCCAGCATCCCTCAAGCTAGTATGGTGATGCCTTATAAGTGGGAGACACAGACTGGCAAAAGAAAGGAAAAGGAGAGGAGGGAAGTTTGAGGTGGGGTCGAAAGGAGGGAAACTGGAGGCCAAGAGCACACTGCCAACCAAAAAAAAAAACCAAACCCATCGCTGTCAAGTCAATTCCAACTCATAGCAATCCTATAGGACAGAGTAGAACTGCCCCATAGGGTCTCCAGGAGCAGCTGGTGGATTCAAACTGCTGACCTTTTTTTGGTTAGTAGCTGAGCTCTTAAGCACTGTGCCGCCAGGGCTCCACATTGCCAACCCGTTAAAAAAAACCAAACCCATTGCCATCGAGTCGATTCCGACCATAGCGACCCTGTAGGACAGAGTCAAACATTGCCAACAGTTGCCTCTAAATATTATTTCATGGTCCTGGGGCTGAATCTTGGCAAACCTTGATTAAGGCCAGATTGTGAGGAGGATAGTGTCCTGGGTAATGCAAACTGCTAACATTCTTGGCTGCAAACCAAAAGATTGGAGGTTCAAGTCCACCCAGAGGTGCCTCAGAAGGAAGGTCTGGCAGTCTACTTCCAAAAAATCAGCCATTGAAAACCCTATGGAGCACAGTTCTCTGACACACATGGAGGCGCCATGAGTTGGAATTGACTTGACAGCAACTGATTTAAGAGGAGGACAGGTGAGATAAGTTGCATATGGTTGATTTTAAAATAAAGCTACTCACGACACTCATCAATAACCAGTTATTCAACTGGACATAGCTTTGGCTTTCCCGTTAATTACACCTGTGATGTGACTGATGAGCACACCAGTGGATTGGGCTTTCTGCGCCTGGGAAAATAGAGTGAAAAGCAGATGTGTCCAACTAAGTGGTGTAAGTGCAGAGTTTGCTGCTATTTTATTTTTAGATAGAAAATTTTTGTCGAACGACTTCTACTTTTTGCAGCAAGGGAAAAAAATACAACAGTACACTGAAAGCCAAGATCATGCCACTTCCTTCTCCTATAACGAGTGGGTCTGGGTTGGTACTTCCTTGGCATGATATATAATCATCGCTTTGCGTTGGGAGAGGACAGTGGAAAAATGCAGTTTCCCAGGCAATTCAGAAGAGTATTTTATTTGTTAAATAAGTTTGAAATGAGAGCAGAGTCTCAGGGCTGTGTCCTGTTCATTGAGGAAGGAGGGCGAAGCTTTCTCGGGGCGCACACTTTGGTGCAGAGGTAGAGCTGGTGAGCAGAGCGCATTGGGTAGGGACGTGCAGGGTATACAGATGAGGGCTGAATCCTGCTTATGTCACTGGATAATATTGGGAACCTGGATGAGTTATCTGACCCTCCCCAGCTGTTCAGATCTGTAAAATGGGTGATCCTAGCACCTACCTCATAGGTTTCTTTTAAGGACTGAGATAGTACTCACAGCCCCCAGAACAGACCTGGCCCACACTAAGTGGTCAGTAAGGGCTCGCCATCCGTGTCATTGTCATCATCAGTGACAAGAGAAATGCTGAAGCTATTGGTGCCAAGTAATGCATAGAAGATCTGTCTTCATGAAGAAGTAGGGGTCACCTGGTATTTCCTGTACATGGTAGGACTTAAATGACCTGCAGTGACACAGTGACCGTCTTCTCTCTCTCGGACTCTGTCTCTGCCTGTTTATCTCTGTCTGTCTGTCTGTTCCTCAGAGTCTTACTTTCTCTCTCTATAGTGTCCTCTGTGTTACCATCAGACCATGGTTGCACATCGGAGCAGAGTATTTTGTGTTGTTTGTTCAGCCAGGCTATCTCTGAAGTTATAAAATATTTTTAAACAACAAACAGCTGGGCCCTAGTGCCTCCTGCTCTCTCTCCTTAGATCGTCAGATCACTTGGATCATTAAAGTGATATTGGCTGAAGGAGCCAAAAAGCAAATCTTGAGCTGTGAGCTCCTCTCCAACATGGCTACGTACGTTCTGAGGCCCCAAGTGATAGCCTCCATGTTTTCCTTGACCGGGGTGGACCCTACTGGCAAAGTCTGGCCTTCAGCAAGCCCTGGTTCAGGGATGGAAGAGCCAGAGGCTTTCCCTGGAATTAGTTTAAGTATAACCTAAACCTGTCATAAAATGGGACTCACTTGAAACTGAACCAGTAAACAACATCATGATAAATGGCAGAAAAATTGAAGCTGTCAAGGATTTCATTGTACTTGGATCAACAGTTAATGCCCAGGGAAGCAGCAGTTGAGAAATCAAACAACTTATTGTATTGGGAAAATCTGCTGCAAAAGACCTCTTCAAAGTGTTGCAGGGCATGAAATCACCTTGCAGAAAGCAATTTGACAGATGCCCTC